CATGGTCTCCTTTAGTACAGGATTCATAGTAGGCACATCGCTCAACTGCAACTGCAACCCAGACATTGGTTGGTTTTCTTTTCTACTCGTTTTTGCTTTTGTAGATGTGTACTTTATTTTGTCCAGGAAGTAGGCTGGATTTTAGATTTGTCTGTATTGATTTCATGGTGTTACATTTGGCTCATGACTCCATACTTGAGGAATTCTGATTTGATTACCCAGTGATTTCGATGTGGTCATTTGGTGACTTTGCCATGGGTTCCACAGAATGCACTCAGCTTGGCAGTACTGCCTGTGTGCTGTAAGAGTCAGTGCCATCGTCATTTTCGGCTTCCTCCTTTGCTTTTGCTTTGGCTTTGAGAAACCTTCCCTTCTTCATTCATGCCCTCAGGAACTCTACAAGGATGTACCTGCATACCATCTTGTTTCTTTAGACAATGTTGATTTATAATATTTTTGCTTCAAATGGAAGTCCAACCTTAAAACTCTATATAAATCCATTTTCTTTTGCTGTAACAGAATTCCTGAGCTGGGTACTCTGAGAGAAGAAGTCAAACTTTGGAGGCTTACAGTTCAAATAGCATGATTCTGACTCTGTTGATGGGCCCTTGACTGCGTCACATGATGGATGACATCATGGTGGCTGCACATGTGTGAGGGAGAGATCACATGGCGAGGAAGGAGACCGGGGATGGGAGGAACCAGATTTGCTCTTTACTAATAACTCTCATTTAGGAACTAAAAGCATCATTCCATTTTGAGGATGATGACCCAACCACCTTACACTAAATTCTACCTCTTAAATGTCCCATCACTTCTTAACATTGCTACCCTGGGGGAACCAGGTTTCTGATGCATGCACCATCAAAGACAAATTACATCAAAACCATAGCACTTTGAATTTGCTCTGTGGGAAAAATGCCTCTTCTCACTTAATCTCTCTGTGTCCCTTGGCTCTGGACAACTGAAGGGTACCCTATGCATGTCTATGCTCTGCTTTGATGCTTCCTTCCTGGGAGGAGATTGCTGCACATACGGGAGTCAGGGAGGGACTGATTGTAGAACCTTGAGCCTGTTGCTAGAATCCACTCTTCCAGGTGACCCATTTCTGGACATCTTTTGTAGCCAGTCCTACTAACCACATTGCACATCTTACTCACAAGACAGATTTTTGCAAATTATTTTCAAGAGGTCCCGTTTCACTAAATTCTGTCTACTCTCCACCAGAAAACCTTATGAAACAAAAGGTTGCATGAGCTTCATCCTGCTTGAGTAGTTCTTAGTCGATTCATGATTTTACTCATCAGCTTGGCTTCATAAGTGCCGGAAGACAATGACGGTAATACTTTACTTGGAAATGTCCCTGCTCTTTCTTCTGGGCTTCAAAAATCCCTGAAACTCAGTAGTGCATGTGTAAGTTATGTTCTACAGGTATGGAGATCAAGCATTCCTCCTCCCTAGGGGTCTGGTGGGTTGGGGGAGGCAAAGGATAGTTTGAATTGTTCATGTCCTTGCATGGAACACGAGTAAAGTCTTCAGGCAAGCATTAAAGCCTAATTCCCCCAGGCTGACCACAAAGGTTGCAAGGGGCCATTGGGGATGGCATGGCTGCTGTCTCTGTTTAAGAGGACAAAACTTTAACTAACAGAATGTGTCACTGGAAGGCACTGTAGAGGTAAGCTAATTTTTAAACACAGAATTCTCAGACCCAGAGAAGGAGAGCCTACTATTCTTTCTTAATGATCCAACGTTAGATTCCTGGCAACACACTTGCTCACATATGTGAGCATATGTTCGTATGTCATCATGCTTTCCGTGCTTCCCCAGCCTCCCTTCTCTTGTAGGAAATACATGGGTTTTAATCTCAAAAAACATATTTATAAATGCATACCGATTCTGAGTTGCTGTTTTCCAGGAAAATACGGGAGTCATTTATGACCTTTAATACCAATACATGAATACAAGGACATGTTTGCTAATGTCACTGTGTTATTACCACATTGTGTGACACCTTTAATACTAAATTCTTTAGGATTGGCCCAGAGTCTCACGTACTTTAGCTCTCAGAAAGAAACCAGGAGACGGGGAAATTTTCCATTTGCTTCTGGCGTTGAATTAATTTTTATTGTCATCTATGACTATAAAATGACTAGGCAGCTGAGAAAGCCTGGACAGAAGTGTATGTGTGGGTTTCCTAACTAGCTGTATATATCCCTAACATGTCACTCCTTGTTGAGTATGGGAGAAGAAACTGCGGTAAAAGGTGACCGGAAACATCCTTCAAATGGGACCTCTCCTCTCTGCTGTTCAGCAAGAACAAGCTTAGCTGGTTACAGGGAGAAGTGTGGTTAACAGTCTCTTACTTGGGAGAATGCTTAGTGACTTGGGTGGGTTAGTGTCTTGCCGTTGCTGCTGCTGCTGCTGCTTCTGCCTACTCTTATTTTTATTCTTGTTCTTATTCTCTCCTCCTCCTTTTTCTCCCTTCTGTGCCCCCCTATACCCTACATCTCTGCTTTGCCCACCCTAGGAAGTCAGAAGCATCTCCGGAATGAAGCTCTACTCACCCTCTAAGTCAGTGGCTCCCAGAAGGCGCTGAGTTTCTGAGTGCTTTAGCTTAGCTGTAAGCACACCAGCCGCCATCTGACTGGAAGCTGCAACCACCCCTGCCTCCCACCCCTCCCCACACAACCCCTAAGGCAGGTCTCCTTTGTCCAGTGGTTTCTGGCCCCACTCAGAGACTCCCTACCCACGTCTTATCTTCCTATGAGGAAAATCAAAAGGAGAAAAAAGTAGGAAGAGAAACAGGAGAGGTAGGAGGAGGGAGGAAGTATGGGGAGGAAATGAGAGAGGAGGCAGGAGCAGAAGGGAAAGGACATGGGAGGATAAGGAAGAATTGCGAAGGAAAGGATCGAACCTGAGGAGCAGAAGGGGCCTGGAGGAAGGGAGGACGGGGAAGGGTGGAGGAAGGAGAAGCAGAGGCCAGGGAGAAGCCAGTGACTGTAATGGGCAAGCTGTTTGTGCAGCGGGGAGGACAGCAGGGAGGGCTCCCTTTTCACAGGGTGCTCCCTCTTGCCCTTCCTCTGTCACCGCTCTCTGCTGTGGATGTCAGGACAGTGGGGGTTCAGATCACTGAAACCCTGATTCACCTGGTCCACCTTAAAATCACAGAAATATGCACAGGCTCTGTCTCTTAAAAGTCCAGATAATCTGGGTTAGGTCGGTGAAGAGCCATTCCTCTGTCCTTTCCTGGAAGGTCCTCCCTTGAGTGTGGACTCCATCCTCAACATTAGCTCTGGACAGATGGGGGGGGCAGGAAGAGTTGGAGGGGGAGGGAATGGGGGCTGGATTTTACCAAAATGCATTATAAGCAAGCGTGACGTTCTCAAAAAAAAAAAAAAGCCACCATCTCTTCAGGGCAAGCTTTCCATTATTGCCCAGAATTAGCCTCTATCTCCCTTGGCTAGACTAGCCTTGATGGCATACACCAGGCTGAAGGATGAAAAGCTTGCCCACTGTGAGTCTGTCTTTGCCCATTGTAAATCTGTCCTTGCCGGCTGTGAGTCTGTCCTTGGGTCTCCTTTCTGCACACCTGTCTCTGAACCCCGTGTGGGGACAGGTCAGTCCTTCCCCCCACCCACTCCACGCTGGAGCAAGGTGAGAAAGTTCCACCTTTCAGCTGCCTTCCAAGGCTAGGTCTCTGCATCAGTGGATTCACCGTGTGGCTCAGACTAGTCTTCCTTTGTAGGGAGCCTTAAAATTGCCACAAGACCGCCCCAAGATGACCCAGCCCTCCCATCCCACAGCAGCCACTCATTTCTGTCTGCAACTAAATTGGGTCATTTGCTTCCATTAATTGCTGCTTTATCACAGCTGCCTGGTTGCTGCTTAGCTTGAGGCCTTCCAGGAAAGGGCACCCAGAAGGGTGAGGCAGACTGTTAGGAAACCGCACAGTTCCTGACTGGACAAACCCTGTTCCCAAACCACTTGTCTGGATCACAGTTAAGACTCAAAGAGTTACAGCAGATAAGGCCCCTCCTTCACCTGGATAGGGTGTCTTGGGAAATGAACTTAATATAACACACTTTTTTCATCTTCAATATGGATCTAAAAATTTACATTTCTCAGAAGGAAGCCTGACCCAGATCCCTGCCAGCCCTTGCAGAGAGAAGGCAAAGTCTAAACAGAGGGCATCACCCCAGAGTGCTCAAAGGGATGTTTTCCAGGGAAGAGTAGAAAATACTGGAAGATGATAAGGTGGACAAAGAGAGGAGATATTCCGTGTGGAGTCCCATGGAAGGAAATTGGCAGAAAAGGGTTTCAAGCACTCACATTAAGAATGAAAGTTCAATCACTGTCTTTTACAGTCAGTGTGACATTCTGAGATGCATAAAGACATCTTGGAAAGAATAATGACAGTGACCAGGAATGCCCATAAAGGCCCATCAAGGCCAGTTGACAAGGGTTCTCAGTCCTGGAGTCGGCAGTTATCTGACTTACTTCCTATGTTGGCAGAGTCAAGACCAGCATGGTGGCGGCCACACTCTTCTGTCACTAACATTCTCTTGAGCGCAGGACCCAGGAGGGGCAATAAATGAGAAAACCCTGTTGTGCCTCCTCTCTCAGGATGCACCAGGCTGGCACATGTGGGACTCTGGGTTCCATTTCTCTGTAGAAGTGAATGAAGTATTGTGACATTGCCTGCAGACTTGTCTCAGGGGGCATTGCCCTGAAGGCAGTTTGTGGGGGTGGCTGGGGAGGGGGATGGTATGGGATGAGATCCCAGGCCAGGCTCTGTCTGTAAAGGACTCAGAGCAGGACTACAATACTGGGCCGGGTGTAGGTAGTGGCCTCCTGTAGATTTAATGTGAGGTTAAGCGGGGAGAGAAAGCCTGCCTTGTAAAACGTGGGAGACTCATGTGCAGCCAGGACACTCACATTTCATAAGGACTTGGCACATTCGCTGAATGATTCTGGCTTACTGCCTAGCTCTGAGTTTCCTGTTCATAGTTCCCCAGATGTGTCACTGCAGGATTGAAGCCCCAAGAGTCTCTGACACAGGCGTCACCGGGAACCCACTTTCTCTGGGTCGTCTGACAAGATGTGAGTTGTCACTCCTGTGCCCCCCAGACCCAGCCCAGTGCTCTCTTGGAAGGAAAGAAAAACGTAACCCTGTCCAGGGCTGACTGCAGAAGGGAGTTTTGTTTTTAGTAGCCAACATCAGGTCAACAGACTTCATCCCGGGAAGAAACGCTGCTGGATGGTCGTCAGAGTTCCCAGTGAACAACGCAGATGGTAAGATGGCTCGCTGCGATTTAGGATTTTCTGTCTCAGTATTTTTCCTTCTTTTTGGGGTGCGTGGGGAAGTTTACTTACACACTGATAAGTTACTTGGGAGGAACAAATGGAAACAGAGTAAAGATAGCATTACGCCGTTCACTGAAACAAGACAGAGTTTCCTGGTATTCTGCATCTCTGGGGACACAGCGTGTGTGAGTATATTAAGATCGCCTGTGATTAAGTTTCATGATATGGGAGATTCGCTATGAAATGCATGGAAACTGTATTTTATAAGTGCTTTCAGGGCTTATGTGTACATCCCTTTGAAGCATACTATTAACTAGTTCACATCACTTACACTTTGCTACTTATAAGCTATCACAGTCAGTGGTGAGGGTCATAAGGCGAAGGGTGTTTTGTGAGTTCTGTTTAAAACGCTATTGTGGGCATTAGAAGTGAAGTATCATTTTGCATTAGTGACCACAGTTTAGGGGGGTGCACTCTCACTAGAGAGTTTGCCGAGTGCCCGGCGTAGTTATCACCGGAAGTTGCTGGTTGCATTTGAAGTCATCATGCACTTTATAGGCAACGCTTGTACACATTTCCTTCAATAAGGTTTAAAACGCAGCCTTAAAAACCGTGTGCATGCCCTCTTTTTGGTTTTGTTTTGGAGACAGAATCTCAGTATGTAGCTCTTTGGAGGCTTTGAATGTAGCCATGGAGAAGATTGTGTATACACTCTTCGATGAGGAGTGTAAACTTTGCCCTGATTTCTTTTTGAACAAATTAATCTTTACAGTTCCAACCGGTTGTATTTCTGGTAACAACAACAGCAGCAGCAGCAGCAGCAAAAATGAGACAGAACCAGAAATAATAAAGACAGGAAAGAAAAAAATGAATGGAGGAAGGGAACAAAATGATGTTTACTGTCTTCAATTTAATTCAGTCCAATTTAATTCAGATCCCCAATTGCTTTATGCACAACACTAGCTCTGTGCTGCGCTGGTGAGCTTTTGCATTGCTAGAATGCAGGGAGGAATTTCCTCAAAGGTGCAGAGAGGCAAGGACCGAAGTGTGTAGCGAGTCCCAGCATCCACCCGACAGGCAGCTGGCCATGAGTCCCAGCATCCACCCGACAGGCAGCTGGCCATCTGTAGGTTGTGTGCTCAGTGCCAATCCTCCATGTTCACTGTAAACAAGGCGATCTGTTGGGAAGAGATGGAATGAAAATTGCCCAGTAGGCTGGGGAAGACTCCCTGAGATTAGCATGCTCTTTCTAATAGGGTAATTCATTTTTAAAAGATTCATAAAGTCATTCTCAACAACACATACATGTAACATTTTGGGCCCACAAACCTTATTGGCATAAATCTGACAGTCTAATTAGAAGAAAAACGTGACAGCCATTATCAAGCAATGATGAAGGTCTATTTCTAGAAGATGCCTTTCAAAAAATGACAGACAGATATTTGTTCATTGTTACACAGGTAAGTATACATAGATAATAAAAGATAAACATAACAGCAGATCCCTGTAAGAGGAACACGTGGGTGAGCCATTCTGCATTCTTTGTCTGAAAAAAATCTGGGCTGATTGTTTCAGTCTGGATTCAGAGATTTGAGAGTTGTGGATTATGAAGACTCAATGATCAAAGACTATGTAAATATTGCCAAAGCAAAAAATTTCTGAAATTTGAACCGTTCTGGTCCCCAAGCATTTCAGATGGGGGGGAGATTTAACATGTAACACTAGTGAGCATCTCGGTTTCTGAATATATCCGCATTTTGAAGAAATGATTTCCTACTACATATGTTTTATCGCTCGAATCTACATTGCAGCCATACGGTGTGAGCAATTAGTCATAGCAATGACTTTCTTTTCATTCGAGCGTTAGGGATTGGTGAGATGGCTCAGTGGGTAGAGAGCTCACTGGGCAAGGACCGGGAATTGAGTTGTTACCCAGCACCGGTGTGAAAGCTGGGTATGTTGTTGAGTGTTATTGACTCCAGCACCAAGGGAACAGAGACATGCAGATCCCGGGAGCTCACAGGCCAGCCAGTCTGGCTAACTGAAGAACTCCAGGGTCAGTGAGAGAGCCTGTCTCAGAATTGGGGGTTGAAAAAATATAGAGAAATGATTGAGGAAGACACCTCTGGCCTCCACACATGTCCACACGTGTCACTGCACACGTGCCGCACCCCACAAGGTTTTAAAACATGTTGCAAATCTTTTTTTTTTTTTTTTTTGTTTTTCGAGACAGGATTTCTCTGTATTGTTTTGGAGCCTGTCCTGGAACTAGCTCATGTAGACCAGGCTGGCCTCGAACTCACAGAGAGCCGCCTGCCTCTGCCTCCCGAGTGCTGGGATTAAAGGCGTGCGCCACCAACGCCCGGCTACATGTTGCAAATCTTAATGGTAGTTGAGACATCACTTTCTTTTCTATTGTTAGCACGATGAAAATGAACAGCATTGCAGTTGAATCTCCACATTTCCTGCCTTGGGATGAGTTCCTAGAGGTGGAATCCACTGCTTGATTAATCCTAGGAGTGCTCTCTATAAGTCCCCATCCCCAATGTATAAGTCCAATTTGACAACATTCTCACTAGCGCCGGTTTTATTGATTTAATTATTTTTATTGAAGTGTACTAGCCTGAACAATTGGCAAGGGGCATTTTCACTGAGTTGATTGACTTTGGGAAAACTTTTTAGGAAGCTGGCTTCTTCTCTGTTTTTGGGTTCACCTTACCTTTTTTGGGGGGGGCGGTATTTAACACCAAAGTAGTGCCCTTTTACCGTAACGTCTGCCAACCCAGTTTCAGAGGTCTGCGGCCTCCCTTGAAAGTGTGCTGAGGGTGTGGGTTTAGCTTCTTTTGCTCTGACTTTTACTGGGGGGAAACCTCATCTTTACAATTTTATCTTGTCTTTTAAGTTGACACTCAGATTCAGCAGCAGCCTTTGCTGTGTTCCAACAGCATGTCTAAAACTGTAGATTAAAAATGGTCTCGAACTTGTCTTATCTTAGTCCATCTGCACTTAGGACACCATACCATCCCTTCACGGGCATTGTCACCCTCTGTGTATTTTGTTTTGGTCTCCAATGACCCCAGAGTCAGTTTCTCTCTCCTGGGCTTGCCTGTATGGGAGTTTGAACCCCCTAATCAGCTTTCGATAAACAAATCTAGAAGAAGGCAATGCAAGGGAGACAGAAACATTGTTACCCCAAATCTTTAAGAACTGGAGTACTCCAAAAAAGAGACTGAGAGATTTAAAAAAATCATCCCAGATAGAGCTTTTCTGAGGTGAACAGATTTTTTTTTAATGGAGTGTGTCTGGGAAACTCTTAACAGGAGTTTCCAAGCAAGCGAATGCACCAATGCATGGAAACATGGACGTGACAAGAGCATGTTTTGAGGGGGAGAACGTCAGAGGGGTTGACTCCATCCCCAGCCCGGTCCTGGGCGGTGCCAATCAGGACCAAAGGGATGTTTACTCTGAGGAATGAGAGCTACTGTTGGTTGTTGAAGCACTTGTAGACCTGAGACACAGGAAGCATTGCTAGCTTGTGTTGAAGCATTGGAAACTGAGGCATAGAGAAATGACTTGGGTGAAATCTCATCAGAAATCAGTATGGAAGTAGGATTCTTGGTGCAGACAGCCTGACTCTGGAACCCAGGGAACTTAGGGAAAGTGTCAGGACATGTGGTTTCGACTGGTGCATTTCCTGTGATTCTCTTGGGTGTGTGTCTATGTGTTGTTAGAACTTCCCTAAAGAATAGCAACAGTTTGTTTGCTTGTCTTTGGTTTTGTTCTTCGCACATGCTATCCCATGTGTTTCTCACGAAAGATTTAAGCATCACCAAAGATCCCGAAGCTGAAACTTTATCGACCACATTCACACGATACCACAAATGGAAAATTCCACTCGCAAAACTTTGCTTCACACTCGAAATTACTCAAGACACGCTATCAGATAGTGTGTGGAAGATGACAGTGACATAAGTGGATCTTGGGTTTATACTTAGATCTTGTCCTCAAGGTATTTTTTCATGTTCATGCAGGTATTCCCAGATGTGAAGAGAAAAAAATATCCCCCAATGTAAGACACTTTTGTCCCAGCTCAGGTAAAAGGATACTCATCATTTTTCCACTCTTGGGCCAGATGAGCAAGCCAAGGCTCAGCATGTCAGTAAACAGCCCACCATGCTGTCCATCAACCTCCATCCAGTGCACTTAGCTTCAAGCCCATGCACCACTGGGTCCTGGACAGCTGAGCACTGATGTTCATGCTTCTTTTATCAACAGTCCTTGGATCATAATTCGGCTGCCTTTGGAGGTGGTAAGGCAGCAGTCTCAGGCAAGGTGGCCTTCCCTTGGAGATGAGGCAGAGCTCATCCTTAATTCTTTGAATCTATAGGAACCAGTGCAAAATGTCATCTAGTAATTTTCTGACCATAGTCTCACTGGCTGGGTATTCAGTTTATCTTGTCAATATAACAATGATAGGCACTTAAGATCGGCAGAGCCTCCACACCATCACCAATGAGGTTCAGAGGCTGTCCCTGAGAGGATGAGGTGCAGGCTTAGGAATGGAGGCCAGTTGTAGTTTCACATAAGCAATCTCTGTCTTCCTTCTGCTTAGCTTAGTCCTTGTCATAAAATGGTTATAATGGTTATAAAATGGGCATGAATACAATTACAGTGGATTTATCTTTACTTTTGGTTAATTGTTTCCATGAATTGTTGGAATTTTGAATTTAAATAACTTACTGGCAGTGCTGTGGACTGGATGCAGGGCCTTCTGCATTCTAGTCAAGCAGATGTATCCCTCAGCTACATCCCCAGCCCTAAACCTTGTAATTTAAAAGTAGGATACTTGAATCCTAACAGCAGATGACTTGTTAGTCTTTATACATCTTCTTCATAAATGTAACTTCAGGAGTCATATAGATTGAAAGAATATTTTGTTGGCCACTGATTTTTTCTATCACACAGCTTACCTACCTCTGCAGTTTAAG